GTAAGTAAATACTTTCTGCGATAGACACAGTCTTTATAATTGAAAGCTAAAATTCTTTCAAAATCAATTCCACCTCGATATAACATGGTCAAAGCAGAGTTCACAATCAGTTTACGCACAGTCCCTCTAGGGACCATGGTTTACGCTACTCAAGAAAAAAAACGTGTTTATTGCGTGATTTGGTAAAATACATTTGTTATCATCGCGAATCATGTAAAAACTCTTCTTTCAAGACCTATTTTACCTTTTAAAAATTGCTAATCACCTCTTTCAAAAACCATCATGCAGTTTGTAATTGAAATCGATGCCAACACATAGTGCTATGACATCGATCAACTTCTGCAATGTAATTTTTATGATCACTACCATTCGGAAAAACATCTACTGGCATTACCATGCACAGATTTGTGATGTCACAAGGTACGCACGGATTTGTGATGTCACAAGCTGAACACAGATTTGAGATGTCATAAAGTGAGCACAGATTTGTGATGTCACAATGCGAGCACAGACATATGTACATGATATGTACATCACTTGTATTTAATGAGTTGATAAATCAAATTGATATGAATCAGAATTTTAAAAATTAGAAAATGTGTTATGGTTTGGCCAGGCGTTTGCTCACTAATGTTGGTTTCAGTCTGCTCATATACCGTAACTTTTTTCTGGAAACCGAGACAGCAGGTCCTGAAAAGCATCTGTAGCTAATTATGTGCAATTGTAAATAATACAGTGGAAATTACAAGCTTAGTCCATAAAAAAACAATTTGTGGTATCACTAGGAAAACTGAATGAAACAGTCCCCGTTAGTTATCGAATTTAAGATTGATAGTTTTGTTTATAGTAATATAGTTGGAATATAAACATGTCAGAAATATGGATCCAGAAGATGATGCCTGATTATGATGATTTTTTAACATTAAAATGATTGACATCTTGTATCTGATTGTCAAACGAGTAAGCCATTTTGAATCCGATCTGAAAAATAAAATGACGTGCATCAAGAACCCCAAATCTCTAATGTATGTATGAAGTTTGAACAAAATTCATCCATAAATGCCAGGAAATGCTTGATTTTTGATGATTTTTAGCAGAAAAATGGCCACCATTCGGCCTTCTTGAATCAGATCGTGAAACAAACTGATGTGCATATGTATATCATGTATGAGTGAATTTTGATTGTGATTGGTCCAGGCATGTCTAAGATACAGGTCCGGACGTACCGGTACGCACACATGCACACACAAAGGCCAAACATAATTTTTCCATGGTCCCTGTACATCTGATTACCAATAACCTGGTAGTTGTGAACTGACATGTACTGTTGTCAAAGAAAACACTCATCTCTGCAGATTAGCAATGAATTTTCTATGTACATAA